CACCTCCCCTCCCGCCACCCCACACACCCTGCCCATGACTCCTGTAGGCTTTCGGCAGTAACAGAGCAAAGTGAAAGTGAAACTTAACTGTCTGCTGCTCTCAACACTATTTCTCACTCAGTGAAGCTCTTTTCAGATTCAAAATACCTTTGAGGAAATATATTTTTTGATGCCAAGTAAACTGCGCTTACCACCACCCCCACTGAATGGGACGGGACAGAAGCAGAAGGTGGTTCTTAAAGAGACAGAGGCCAATTTCAAGGTTTTTAAAAGAAGAAGTGATGAGAAGATAAGCTTATTTTCTATTTAAACATAAAAACATCATTTTAATAACAGCTAAAAGGTGACATAGATACTTTATTTTGGTATAGTATTTAAATGTATGCCTGAGAAACACATAATATTGCCCCTTTAAAAATGACCAGGCTAAACCCTTTAAGCCAAGCTAATGTTGAGCCGTAGCCTCTCCGCCTGAACAACAAACACTTAGCGAGGTAGAAAGATGTACGTCAAACTTGACATTCCAATCAAGCACCCCCCCCCGCTGCTCCAAGTTTCAAAATAGACGTTGCAAAGAAATGACAAAAGCAGCAGGCGAGCTCAGCACCATTTTAGCATAACCTCTGTAAACGAAGAGTGACATTTTTTTATAATAGTCACTTTAAARGTCAACACTTAAAGTGACTTGTGTGCATTTGAAGAAAAAAGAACACATGGTGTATCATCGTGACAGCAGTTAAACGGGACGTTTTAGTGTCAAACCTTTACGTTTTTTGGGGGGATTTGAACATCAAAACCACTGACAGTTCAAATGTACAGTATGTTTTTTAGTAATCAAGACAGGTGCTGAAGTATATTTATCATCTCAGAGTTATTTTACCTCTTCCCCGCTGTGCACAGTTAGGATGAATGACAAGATACACTGATAAGGCAACGGAGATCATCTTTCTCTGCTCAACAAGCCCTAAAGCAAGACTTCATAGCCCTTTGGTCTGATGAAGGCCATTGGGCCGGTGTTAAAAAAGCTGTTTCAGTAGGCTGGTCATTAAAATGTGGCGAGCAGCAGCCGACATGTCCATCCAGAGGCACACTTCTCGCCTCATCATGTTCTTTAATCATAGCGGGGAAAGAGAGCAGCCCACACTGGGGTCACTTTCAACGAGCTGCACTCTGAATGGTCTGAAGAGAGTCCAATTAAATCCTACATTTTCTGACCCAGGAGCGCCTCTGTAATGGAATCTGAGGACTGCGGCTGCACGAACCGAGCAAAAAGGAGGGTGATTGGCAGCGCTTCGTCACTAAACATGCGCGGTCACATGCGTGGATGTTGCTTCTATGTGCCCGTGGGCATCCCGAAAAATAAAAAAAAAAAAAAGAAAAAACTCACAGACGGAGCTTTCTCCCCGGGCAACCTTTGCACATGATGCATTCTGATTCAACTTGCTTGGTTAAATAAGCATCTGGGTGGGGGGAGAGGGAAAGCAGAAGATACAAGCTGCAAGTACAGATACAGTTAGAGAGTGGGAGAAAACAATAATGTCAGGACTCTTAATCCCTGGGACTCACCAGTTATCAATCTCCTGTAAATGTCAGGGACTAGAATATGGCCTCATAAATGATGGATATCTTCCGTTTTTTTTTTTTTCCTTTCATCTTTTTCTACATTGTATTATTGAGTGAACTCCACCGAGGGCTTCGAGTCTCTATCTTGAGAGGTAATACTCTCCTCGCAGTGGCAGCAATACCTGAATCCAAACCAACCGAGTGGTTACAGTGAGGCAGAGGAAAGCAAAGGGAAAGTTTTTCTTTATGTATTTATTAAATCCTTCATGTCACGTCAGTGTCACCCAAAAAACAGCACCTTCAAAGAAGTCAATGCAGCATCTGTACAAATGTCCTCGGAGCTTCCTTTAGCTTGTCATCTCCTGTCTGGAGAACCGCGAGTCAACCCAAAGTGTCAACTCTATTCTGTTCTGAATGTGCTTCACATAAGATATACAACCATCGGTCTGACTCACAGAGATATATAAAGTACTAGAACTAAGTAAAAGTAGAAAATGACTTGGGTCAAAATTAATTTCACAGATGAGGAAAGCACTTAAGTAAAAGTCTAAGAAATGAAGTGTTGAATTGATTTAACCCAACTGGTTCAAAGAAACTGAGCTGAGCAAATTAATACATTTTCTTTTTCATCTTGGTTTAATGGAACCAGTTGACAGAACTTGCTGCGTAAAGTCAACACGAACAACTCCTTTTATGAGTTTGGTCATACAGCGGGTAAAATAAGTCTTGAACAAGTCACCATTTTTCTCAGTAAATATATCACTAGAGGTGCTGATGACATAAAATTTTCACCAGATGTCGGTAACAACCCAAGTGATCCATACATATGAAGAAATCAAACCATAAATGTCCAGAAATGAAGTTATTTGTAATAATGTGGAATGGC